TTCCCTAAATATTCTTAGGTTAACTATTGTAGTATTCATATTCTTTGAATCGATTTCATATAATTGTTTTATTTACAGCGTATGCTCATATTAATGAAAAATATAATTGAAAAAGCCATTTAGAAATTGTATGGGTTAACAAGTTTTTTAGTCAAAAAACAATGTCTTTTTGCCTATCATATATATTTTGCATAAGAGCCACTTCCAACAGACTACGCATTTTTTCTGAATTCTAAATGTAAATATTAACTCCAACATAATATATATTTCCCCCAACATCTTATTACAAAAATTTTCAAACAACCAGGAAAGTTGAAAGAATACATATTTATCACCTAGATTCCATCATTATCTTTTTACAATATTGTTTTATCAGATATCTATCAATCTCCCTTTGTATCCCCCAATTCATCTTACATTTTGTTGTACTGAAAGGAAAATCCACACATCAATATATTTGCCACAAATATTTCTTAAACATATCATCTTTATTTCTAGGCAATAAAGCTCCGTTTCCCAACATACTGGTTACTATCATAAGCACTTAAAAAGCATGACTCTGTGCCACAATCACATAATACCATTTGAGTCAGGAAACAACAGTCTTATAGTTAAGAGGGGAAATAAACAAGCAAAATAAATTAATTATTAATCCTTTATAAATATATTTCCATGTAGTAAAATAAGCTTCATCTGTGGCACATTCATTTGAAATATTTGCCCTTTTATTTCACCAATATCTAGTAGTTCCTATTATAGTTTCTATTTGTTTATAACCAAAAGCTCTTACTTGTTAATACTTCCCCATTCAGTAGTTCTGGAGGACTATTCAATTTCATGGAGGCAGAGAGGTGAACAATCACTTTCTAAACTTAGTTTAGGCAAAGTTACATTTGCCTTCTGTGATACTGTGATTTATAATACGAAATATATATTTGGTCTTTGTCCCACTCCTGGTGCAGAAGTCCTAAAATGCTTGAAATTTCCTAGGTGATAAGAGCCAAGAAGGTAAAAGGAAACTCTTTTGTTATTCATACCAAGCCCCTTTCAACCACATCTGAGTTTATATTAATGAGGTAACTTTCTAAAGATAAGGCTGGTTGTCAGGGAAACCAACCACATGATTAGAGGGTTGGAACTTTCAGCCCACCCAGACCTCTGGGGAGGGGGAGGGGGGCGTGGGGCAGGGCTGGAGGTTGAAATATTCACCAATGGGCAATGATTTAATCAATTGTGCCTATGTAATGAAGCCTCCATAAATACCCAAAAGAAGGAGGTTCAGAGAGCTTCTGGACTGGTGAACACATGGAGGTGCTGAAGGGGCATGGAGGCTTTGAATCCTTTCCTACACAACTTGCCCTATGCATCTCTTCATTTGGCTGTTTATTTATATCCTTTAAAATATTGGCAATGGTAAGTAAATTGTTTTCTGGGTTCTGTGAGCCACTCTAGCAAATTATCGAACCTGAAGAGGGAGTAGCGGGAACCTACAATCTGTAGCCAAGTCAGACAGAAGTTGTGAGTAACCTGGGGACCTATTACTTGTGAATGGCATCTGAAGTAGGGGCAGTCTTGTGGAACTGAGCCCTTAATGAGTGGGGTCTGCACTAACTCTGGTTAGTGTCAGAATTGAATTGAATTGTAGAACACCCAGCTGGTATCAGAGAATTTGTCAGTGTGGGGAAAAAAACCCCACATATCTGGCATCAGAAGTGTTATGTAAGAGTACAGGAAAACACACTAAATTTTTTTCTAGACACCTTCTATAGCTGTCTTCCAGCTTAATAATTTTATGAATTAGACTGTATCATCTCTTTAAAATTGTACTATATTGGGGCCGTCCCTGTGGCTTAGCAGTTAAGTGCGCGCGCTCCGCTGCTGGCGGCCCGCGTTCAGATCCCAGGTGCGCACCGACACACCGCTTCTCTGGCCATGCTGAGGCCGCGTCCCACATACAGCAACTAGAAGGATGTGCAGCTATGACATACAACTATCTACTGGGGCTTTGGGGGGAAAAAAATAAATAAATAAAATTATTTAAAAAAAAATTGTATTATAATAAACACTATATTTAGCTACCATATCAAGATTATACTTCTGCTTTCTATCTTTAATGTTAAGAGCAATGATTTACATTTATAGGAAGCATTTCTTTATGAAAATTAATCCCTTTGAAAACATACAAAAAGGCGTCAGGAAAGGACATGAGAAGTAAGTTTTAAAGTTTAGATTCATTTGGATTTGGAGGAAGGCTGTCAGGATAATTTTTCATATTTGCTAAAGACAAAAAAGGGCAAGAAACAAAAAGATGTCTGTGGATTTTCTCTATTGTCAAGATAAAAACAAAATTGTATACAAAAACATTTATTTTAATAACCTACACAGTATACTTGTCTATTATCACAAATTTATACTAGGACCTCACCCTTTATATGCTGTATGAAATTAAAATCAGTGTACTATTTTATTCTTCTTTATCAAGAGAGTCCACTCTAGACTCAAGCAATCTGAGTCCTTAGATTTACCAGTGAGTGATCTTAGGTATATCCCTAATTTGCATGGTACTCCTTTTCTTCATCTTTATTTATTCATTTATTTATTTTTTAAAGATTTTATTTATTTATTTTCTTTCCCCCCAAAGCCCCAGTAGATAGTTGTATGTCATAGCTGCACATCCTTCTAGTTGCTGTATGTGGGATGTGGCCTCAGCATGGCCGTAGAAGCGGTGCATCAGTGCGCGGCCAGGATTCAAACCCGGGCCGCCAGCAGCGGAGCGCGCGCACTTAACCGCTAAGCCACGGGGCTGGCCCTTTTTTTTTTTTTTAAAGATTTTATTTATTTTCTTCATCTTTAATTTAAAATTTCCCATGATGGTCTTTACTGTTTAGGACTTATTCCATTATCTAATAACTTTTTTTAAGAATGTTAAAATACTGGCTAGCCTAAGTACCTGGGGTAATGCAATTCTAGCACTTCACAAACACAAAAAAAGATTTGGGAGAACTTCTTGGCAGCAGATTAAACGAAAGAATGGGTCCAACTTAAGTTATCTCATTTAATTTCTTCTAAACTTACTTTTTTTTTTTCATAATGCCATGTATAGCCTACTGTCAAAAGAACTAATAAACACTCATTATAACTGAAATAGTAGCAGAGCATGCAAAAAAGGAAATATGGAAAAACCTAGTATACCTCAATGGAAAACATTCAATTCCAGCTGTAACCACACAGAAAAGCTAAAGTCTAATAATAATGATAACAGTAACAATAATAGTCACCTCATCAAAGTTCATCCAAAAATAATTAGAATACTGCATTTGAGGAAAATCAATGAACAAAAACATTACACATTAGTAGAATATGTGACTATTAGTAGCATATGAGCATCCTAGGGCCAGCAGCATTATGAAATGTGATGCTTATGTACAACCAAATCACTGCATAAAGTCAGAGAGGCCAGAGACACAGTGAGGCCACCAAGAGTATGCCTCCAAAACATCTGTTTCATTCATGTTAATCATTTTTGAGCAATTCAGGCAGGAAGTGAATTCACTAATATTCCCCAGAAACAGAGAAAACAAAATAATAGTGATAGCAAAGAACAAAGGCCTAAGTCCAAATAAACGTGACATCAGCCCCAGTATTTTTGGCATATGTTCATACATAGAAGACTGCCTCAAAGAGTCTCTTGGAATATGCTAAAGTCACTCAAGTAAAAAGGCAAAATTCAATTACAGACCATAACTCATGTAATATATTAACATTTCTCAGCTTCTCAAAGGACTGTTTTCCAAAGGCTTCACTGTTGGGTAGAGATCAAAGTGCCACTTTATAAATAGTTGACTCATCTGTCAAGTGATAATACTTCCTTAACAGGGTTGTTCTCGGAAAAAAAGGGGAGACTAGATGAAATTGCTTGAAAGAGAACTATAACAGATTATAAGTAAAATTAAAATTCTAAATCCAACTCAGTGTAATACTTCTTCTTGGTACATGGAGATGAAAATTCTATTAACTTTCTGTTATAAAATACATCACATAAAAAAGTATACAAAGTGTATATATTCAGCTAAAAGAATAATAATATTTAATGGACCCCTACTCATCTTAAGAAATGGAAGATTACTAATAGCTTGGAGACTCTCATGTGCCTGTTCCTATCATATTTCTCTTAACCTACTCCACACTATCCTAAATTTTGTGCTAAGCACTACCTTGCTTTTATTACAGTATTGACACATTTATATGTATCCTTAAACTATCTGTCATCTATCTATCTCTGTCCATCCATTCATTTTCCATCCATCCATCCATCCATCCATCCATCCATCCATCTGCTTTTGAACCTCATATATATGGAATATGCTATGTCTTTAACTTCAACAGTATTTTTCTCAGGGTAATTTCTTGACATTATTATGTAATTTTTCATATAATCCCTAAGGTTAAAGGAATGTATTATACCCACTTAAAGCAGAAAAAATGAGGCACAGTAAAGCTAGCAACTTGCCATGTTATATGAGAGGACAACAGACAAATCTTTCTACAGTAATTCTGAAAGTAAAGCAAACCAATGACTATCTCAGAGCTTTATAGCACATTCATATTTTTAGCTTCAGTTAAAACTAAAACATTTCTCTAGTACTAGGAGCACAATTAATATTTTTAAATTGACTTTACATAGCTGATATTTTTTGCTTTCATCTTCAAGGGGAAGTTACATTACAGTGTACTGATGGGAAGTTATATTAAAGTGTACTGATGATGTAAAAACCTTATGTAATATGTAAAACAATATGTAAAACATTACAGTATTCAAATATATTCCTTAAAAGGAAAACAAGAACGAATTAAAGAAAGAATATCAAGAGAAGATTTGTTTTTCTCTTAGGGAATGGACTATTAGAAAACAGCCATATTATGAAATATTCTAATTAAAGAGGATGGCTGCTTAAATAGGTGATTAGTCTGACACTAATCAATCCAAAGATATCATTCACCTGAGCAAGTGGTGGAAGAATCTTCTTGCATATTTGCTGATTTGGTCTCTATATTCCAATATAGTTGTATCCAGGAGTGGTCTTGTTGGAGCGTAGAAGGTTCCAAGGCTTGCCTCAAGCTGTGCTGTGGAATTCAAACATAGCAGCACTAAAACAAGTGAAACTCCTTCAATTACAACAGAATACTCATGTTTGCAGTCAGTCAGGTTTTGCAAACTTGGATGAAATGTGAGCTTGTTGCAGGAAAGATGAAATTAAAATATGACAGCTGGTACAAAAACAAACCTGTGTATAAACTTTCACTTGAGGCAAAGCTGACAATGACTCTGAGCAACAAAAAGCTGTCAAAGCTGAAGAAATCCATAATGAACCAACCTCTCACCACAAATGGGTAATTAAAACAGTGACTCATCAAAGTAACACAGTTTGAACTAGTATTTCCAGTAAAATCAACTCACAGTGTACTCAACATTACGCTCCTTAGCGGAAAGGAGAAAACTAACCTTTCTGCATTGGGGAATTGAAATCAGCATTAGAAATGTTTAAGAAATAATACAAATAAGAATAGCCTTATTGGAGTAATAATATCTCGTTCTATTACAATTTTAAAGAAATAGTGAAAGTCCCTATAGCTTCCCTGAATCCTGTCCTAAACAAGATGGTTGGTTTTGTCCAAGTGTGAAAGCTAACACCCCTGGGAGGGATGACATGCTAATCTGCTCTCTGTCAACTGACACCTTCCTAGGAAAGAAGGATTGGAGAGCAGGTTTCGATAAACCAGAGGGCTAGAGATTGGGAGAAAGAGGCACATTTTGCCTACTTCACAATTTTACCAAGACATGCCTATGGGGTTGTGTTTCCTCCCAGAAATACCTGCAAGTTATATAATTACCATAATGGCAAGAGTATGAGTATGTATGAGAACACTACAGTTCACAGTAAGACTCTCCTGATTTTTATGCTACTAGCACTGGGTCGAATAAACAATTCCTTATTTAGCAAAACTCTTTAGTTTTAGGCTTATTTGGGTTTGAAAGTATTAAATACCTCATCAGAATAATTGCTATGGACTTGGCTAAGCTGTTAGTAATTTCTTTTTTTAATCTCAAATCTAGACAGTAAAGTAAGGTGAACTTTAGGGGTATTTCCTTTCAAAGCAGCAGTCAATTTAGATTAAAATTGAATACAGCAATGCTATTGTGAAAACAAGCCAGATTCTCTTGCCATTGCTTGTTTTCTTGACAGCATGTTTCGTACATCTGAAATGTTCGAGGCTACATGGAATACCGGTAACCCTCAGCACAGTTATAGATTCATTAGATAGCCCAGCTTGATGTTTAAGGCAGAAATGAAGATCTCAAAGATAACCACAACACAGCTACAAATAAAAGAGCTCACTGGGTTCCACTAATAAAAGGAAAACAAATTACCATGTCAAATTTGTTAGATTCAGATAGAATAAATCTCAAAGAGAAAAATTCTGAATATTTTAGAAATGTGTTTTGCAGTTACTTGGGGGGAAAATGCTTATACCTACTTAAAATGTACATATTCTGATAACCCAGCATCATGCAAGCATTTTATTTTAATAGCCTAGTATCATAAAAGCTTTTTATTCCCCTATCTCCTCAATATGGTTCCTTGAAAATATCCTTTATTAAGGCAAGAATCTGATAATGCCCATTTGTGAATTCCCTAATAATCTTTTTTACAATACAGAAATCTTACAATACAAATTCACTAAGATGCTAGCAATTTCTCAGTGTCCTGAGAGTCAATATCCTATCTTCTCTGTGTTTCTTCAACTCTAAATTTAGGATCTCTTGTATAGATTGTAGGTACCATAACAGGCTTCCATTTTTTTTTTTTTCCTACTATGTACCCAATCTTAAGAGTGTACCAATACTAAGAAATAATTACTTGAGATAACTCTGAGGCAGAAATATTACAGTAATACCTAGTACCCTAAAATTTTGAAGTTATACTCTTCTTTTTATATTTAACCAATATTCATCAAGTACGTACTGTGGGCCAAGCACTGTGCTAGACATTTTCTCGTAGAAATACTGGAATCTCCACAGATGGGTTGGAATATCTCCAAAAAGTACATTCAATTAACATTAAATAAACATTTATTGTGGGCCTCCTGTGAGTTGGGCCGAGTCCCATGATACAGAGTTCCTGAAGGAACATGTTCTTACTGATTATTCTTCTCTAAAATTACTAAAATAAACGTTATGTACAGAATTCTTTACTTTGGGAAACATCATAAAATGGAATAAGAAAATCTACAAACATGCAAAGATAATAGTAGGAAAAAAAGCTCTCTAGTAAAGACCTTCTGACATATTTCCTGTTTTCCCTACCTTGTAAATTACCTAGGGACAATTTCTCATTGGCCATGATATCCCACCATAAGTGTCAGTGGTTATTGCAAAGATGTGAAATAAAGATGCAAATGCAAGAATGTTTAGGTGCAATTTACATTAAGTAAATAAATAACTCATAATAAAAATAACATATACTGGATAATTGGCAAATATAAAAATTAATTTCATTATTGTATGTGGCACATTTTTTTTTCCTCCTTTTTTTCTAACAGCGTCTTATCTCTCTTTGACAATAAACATGGCTAAGCTGTTAGTAATTTCTTATGGGCAAAATTACTTACTGAGGGAAGGTAGGAAAATCCTAGCAGACAGAAGGGAGAGAGGTATCAGAACTGCAAGTTAGACTGAAAACAAGAAGGAGCAGCCTGGGCTGCAATTCTCATACACACACACACACACAATCAGTGGTAAGGACTATTGTCTGGACAAAGGACTAGAGGTGTGAGAGAAAAATATTGATGTCTTAAGTGAAGGAGGAATAAAGACCTTTGTTTGGGGCCCATTGTCTACCAGACCCTAGAGAGTACATGAAATTCTTGATCAAAGTTTGAAATCTGAGCATATTCCTCACATGAACTTAGACTGAAAGGTACAATGACTGCACTGTGAGTTCCAACATAGGTATATACAACAAAGTTCTTCTTTATGTTGACAAATACTATACAGTAAGTACCACATGGGGAGTAATTATTTGATATCTGATCTTGTCAGTTTTAAATAGGGCATTAACATTTTTGCCTTTTAATCTCTAATTAAACATAACTCAAAAATATCCTCAAAAAATAACTGACTCAATAAAATGTACTTTATGTATATACAAAACCTATTTATGAAATATAGTTCAAGTCTGACCTTCTCTCTCTGGAGTGAGCTTTTGTCTGAGAAGATGGTTTACAATGGCACTCATGCTGATAAAGCACTGGTGTCCCAGGGTGTCCCAGTTCATACTGCTCAGGATGTTTATTGCCTCACAGATCTTATCACAGTGAATGTACTGGAAGATGATGTCTACCAGGCCTAGCTGTCCTCGTGTGAAGACACCTGTCACAAAAAATGTAAAATCAAGTGAATCTTTTAAAAATAAAAAGTAGTATAGCAAAAACAGAGTAAACATTTCCATAAATGAAAAAAACTGTAATCATTTCTTGCATAAGTGCTAGAAATGTGGGATTTTGAGGGCCTAGAGTAATACGGCTCTGTGGTTAAATCTTCATTTTAAATACCACCTACCAATTCTATCGAGCTTATGCTTATCATTCAGCACATATTGACTAATTTACACTCCACATAATCAAACTCCTTAGACTAAGAGTGAATAAACATGAGAATAATTCTCAGGTAGGCCACAATAGCTAACTCTATTCTTTCTGTCAGTCATTTGGGTCTCTGTGGTGTACCTTTAAAGACAGGGTTTTGATGAGAACACAGTTCTTACTGAACAGCTTCGTTAGTTTTAAGTTGCATTTAGTCTTCAGCCCCACGCACCTGGGGAGTGGAGGGGGTACACATCTCCATGACAAACATAATGCGTCTATATAAATGCTTTTAAGTCTGTTTTTACTAATGGATGCTCTCAATTGATAGTTTCTTCATAGATACCACATACCAATTTATTTTAAATTGGCATTTAGAGATTATTCTCTTCTATTAAAGTAAGAAATGATCAGTATTAATCCTGCTATTGATTCACAACTAACATTTGCTATAAAATATCTTGGTACAATATAAACACATTTGTTTATCCTTTCAAATGAAATAAAAATCTACTTCTAATCTTAGAGGAGCAAGAGCACAAAACAAAGGAGGGGGCATTCTGTTCTAGTTTTATCATCTTTTAAATATGGCTTATCTCATTTGAAACTAATAATTTCTGTGTAATTAAATAATAATAAGTACCAGGGCTTTTTAGCAGGTTATTTTTTTTAATCTTTTAAAAACGGCTGGGTGTAAAATTTTTTTTCTTCAGCCAATGTTTACTGATTTGAGTGAGTCTACAAAAATTTCTCAGTACAAATAATCATAAAGCTAAATGAGAAAAGGTATGTGAAAATATTTGTAAGCTGTATAGTATATAAAATATTACTGCAATTCTTCATTACTATCATCATCATCATCATTTAACTGGAATAGTTATAGGTTTCCAGATTTTAAAAAATATATTAGTTCATGAGAAAGATGCTGAAATTCTTCATACTAACTTCAAGTCACATCAAAATGAGAACTTGTGCTATATCTAACAGGACTCAACTTGATAGGGAATCTGGGGAATTGCCTTGACTGTATATACTAAGCAATAAAATGTTATTATTCTTTTGTGTTGGTAGAATCAACGAATGCTACTGTCCGAAAGCCTTCATGAGCCTGCAGTCAAGCATTGAAAGTCCTCATAAATCAGGGTGCTTTCTTGGCAGTAAATCTTAATGTGCAGGAACTTTGCATGAAACCAAAAATATCTGAAATTTGTGATTCTATCTCCTAAGCAATACTTCTAGCAAGAAAAAGAATTGATTTGTTGAGAATAAGAGCTAACATATAATCATAATCAAATTGTGCAAAAGGTTATAAAGAGAAAATCTTTAAAAGCAGCCAGAAAAAAAAGACACATGATGTACAGAGAAACAAAGACATGAGTAATTGCAAAGCTTGCTTGAAATTATGCAAGCCAGAAGACAAGAGCATGACATTCTCCAAAGGCTGAGAGAGAAAAATGAATTAGCCTAGAATTCTATAACTTTATAATAAAGAGTTGAAAATTCATGCAGAAACATAACAGTCTTAAATGCACCTAATAACAGAGCTCTGAAATAATAAAGCAAAAACTGACAGAAAAGGAAAAAAAGTCAAATCTACAATTACAGTTGGAGATTTCAGCATTTCTCTCTCACTAGTTGAGACAACATGTAACTAGAACGTCAGTAAAAATAGAAAATACTTGAAAAACACTATCAATGAATTTGACTTAATTGACATTTGTAAAACACTTCACCCAACAACAGCAGAATACACATTCTTTTTAAGTGCACATGGAACATCAATCAAGATGAAGCATATTCTGGGTGATAAAACAAGCCTCAATAAATTTAAATGTTTTGAAATCATACAGAGTGGATTCTCTGACCACAACAAAATTAAATTAGATATCAATATAGAAAGATATCTGGAAAATCTCCAAATATTAAAGAAATTAATCAGCATTCTTCTAAATAACCTACGGGTCAAAGAAGAAATCACAAGGTAAATTAGAAAATATTTTGAAATGAATAAAAATTAAAATATCATATCAAAATCTGTGAGATGCAGCTATAGCAGTACTTAAAGGGAAATTTCTAGCTTTAAATGTTTCAATTAGAAAAGAAGAAAGGTCTAAAATCAAGAATCCAAGTTTCCACATTAAGAACCTACAGAAAGAAGAGCAAATTAGAACTAAAATAAGTAGAAGGAAATAATAAAAATAATAAATAGCAAATAAACAAAGAATAGAGAAAATCAATGAACTCAAAAGCTGGTTCTTTGAAATGATCAGTAAAATTGACCAAACTCTGCCTCCATTGAGAAAAAAAGAGAAGACACAACTTACCAATATCAAGAATAATCACTACAGAACTACAGACATTAAAAATAATATGAATAACTTTACACAGATAAATATAACTTAAATGAAATGGATTCCTTGAAAGACCCAAACTATCAAAACTCATTCAAGAAGGAATAGATAACCCGAGTGGCCCTATATTATTTAAATTTGAATTTGTAGTTTAAAAACCTTTACATACTTCCCCACACACAGACACAACCTGCATGTCCAAATGCCTTCATTGGTGAATTCTCTCAAACATTAAAAAAAAAGAAATAATATCAACTGAACACAACTCAAAATATAAGAGGAGGGAACACTTCCCAACTCATTTCATGATGTTAGCATTACACTGATACCAAAAAATGACGAAGACATTACAGGAAAAGAAAAAGAAAACTACAGACCAAGATCTCCCATAAACGGAAAAAAAAATGCTTAACAAAACACTAGCAAATCCAGCAATGTATTAAAAAGATAATACATTATTAACAAGAAAGATTTATCCCACAAACGCAAGGTCACTGAAACATCTGAAAACTAATCAATATAATTCACCATATGACCAGAAAAAACATATAATCATTTCAATAGATGCAGAAAAAGCACTTGAAAAAATTCAACATCCAGTCAGGATAACATATCTCAGCAGACTAGGATGGAAGGGGACTTCTTCAACCTAATAACATCATACCTATAATGAAAGACTAAATGCTTTCCACCTAAGATCAGAAACAAAGCAAGGATGTCCTCTCTTGCCACTTCTATTTAATATTGTACTGGAGGTCCTAGCTAGTAAAATAAGGGAAGAAAACAAAATAAAAGGCAGATAACTTGGATAAGAAGATGTAAAACTGTTTTTAACTGCAGTTGTCATAGTCATTTATGTAGAAAATCCTAAGGAATCTATAAAAAAGTTACTGCAACTAAGAAATGAGTTTAACAGGGTTGCAGGATACATGGTCAATATTTTAACATTTTATATCTACATAATCCCAAAGAACAATTAAAAATTATAATTAAAAAATACTATTTACAATAGCATCCAAAAACATGAACAAAATATGTACAAGTTCTTTACACTTAAAACTATAAAAGACTGCTGAGAGGAAATTAAAGAAAACCTGAATAAATGCGGAGAGATATCGTGTTTATAGATCAGGAGATTCAATATTGTGAAATTGTCTTTCCACCCCAAATTGATCTACAGATTCAACATAATGCCAATCAAAATCTTATCAAGTGTTTTTGTAGAAACTGACAAATCAGTTTTAAAATTTATATAGAAATTCAAAGGATCTAGAGTGGCCAAAATAGTTTTGAAAAAGAAGACAAACTTGGAGGACTAACAGTATCTGATTTCAAGACTTACTGTAAAATCACAGTAATTAACAGTGTGGTACTCACTTAAGTATAGACATATAGATCAATGGAAGAGACTACAGTCTATTCATAGACACACACAGGGTCAAGGTGATTCAATGGAAAAAGGATAGTCTTTCCAACAATTGGTGCTGGAACAATTGAATATTCATATTAAAAAATTAATTTCAACTCACACGTCACGCCATGTGCAAAAAATTAACTTGAAATAGACCATAAACCTAATTGTAGGAGCTAAAACCATAAAACTGCTAGAAGAAAACAGGGTTAGACAAAGATTTTGTAGATAGGAGATAAAAGCACAAGCCATAAAATAAAGAAATTTAAGAATTGGATTTCATTAAAATTAAAAACTTAGCTACCCAAAACACACTGTTAAGAAAATAAAAGGTGACAGGCTGAAAAAAAAAATATTCAAAATACTAGTATCTTACGAAGCATTTGTATTCAGAATATATTAAAAATTCTTACCAACTCAATGATAAATAAACAATCCATTTAAACTTGGACAAAAGATTTGAAGATATACTTCATCAGAGAAGATACATGGCAAATAAACCCATAAAAAGATGCTCAACTCCAAGTCATCAGGGAAATGCAAATTAACACCACTACACACCCAATAGAACGGCAAAAATTTAAAAGACCATTAACGCCAAGTATTAGTGAGAATGTAGAGCAACTGGAACTCCAAAATAGTCAGTTTCTTCTTAATTAAACAAACACTTAGCATATGGCTCAGCCATTCTACTTCTAGGTTTTTCCCAAGAGAAATTAAAATATATGTCCATACAAAGACTTGTACATGAAAGTACACAGCATTTTTAGTGATATTAGCTTAAATCTGGAAACAACCCAAATGTCCTCTGCATGTGAAAAGATACACAAACTGTGGTTTATCTATATAATGGAATACTACTCAGTAATGTAAAGGAAAATTTACAGATATACACACCAATATAGAAAATTCTCACAGATTAATGCTGAATGAAAGCAGCAAGACACAAAAACAGTACCTATTTTATGAGTCCATTTCTATGAAATTCTAAAAAAAGCAAATCCAATCTGTAATGACAGAAAGCAG